TACGGCATGTCCAGCACCGGAAACGCGACGAGAACTTCTTCAAGTCTGGGGCCGGAGGTGGTGGAAGGCCGCGCTTCTTGCGCTCCTCCGCAACGGCAGCGCGCGTCTCGTTCCAGGTCGCCAGCACTTGGATGGCTTCATCCCCCTCCAACGGCTCCGCCCGGTCCTGCTCGACCTCCGCCGGGGAAACGCCCACCTCCTCGGCGATGTTGCTCTCTTCGGTGATCTCTCCTCAGGCAGGGCCCTCCTCGATCATGTGCGCGCCGTGCTCCGCCAGCATCCTCGGGTAGACCGTATTCAACGCTTGCGACAGTTTGTCGAACGTCCATTGACGCTCGCTGGCCGCCAGGACCACCGCGCGACGGTCACCTCCGAGACGAGCCTCTCGAAGGAGGAGGAAGCCCTGGGCGACGTCGGGGATCTCGACGCCCTCCTTCTTTGCCTTCAAAATCAGCCGATCCGGCATGTGAGTTTTTGAGAGCGTGGACTTGACCTCGCTCAAGCTTCGCTCTGCAGGGGGGGGCGTTATTTCCGACGACATTTCCGATGTTTTTCGGTGCGCGGGGACATTTCCGACGCCATTTCCGACGTTTTTCGGCGCGGTACCCGGGGACAGAGGCCAGCCCAATATGGTCTGCGCCCGGCCGAAGTAGGCACCCGTCAGCTTCGACTTCTCGAGCTTCAATCCGAACGCGGACTCGAGCGCGTCGCCGACCCGGTCGGCCGCCTCACGCTCAGGGTAGAGCGAGTCCAGCACCTCGAAGAGCCTCTCCTCTCCGTTCTCCATGGCCAGCTCCTCCAGCTCCACATGCCCCAGGGCGCCCACCGCGATGCCCTCCAACAGGGTGTAGAGCATGGGGCCGTACGTTTCCGGCTTCCCGCCTCAGCCCCTCTCGACCAGGAGCCCTGCTCTCGCCCACTTCTTCCAGGCCCTGTAGTCCTGCACTGCGGTGGCGCCTTCTCCTGAAAACTTCCTGTCCCTCGTGCCGCCGCCGCCTCCGTGATCCGACATGGCTGTACTCTGTGAGCAGTTGGCTCAAGCTTCTGTCGATCCTAAGGTCGCCCTCGACCCGACGGTGAGACCCTGCAGGGGTCCTTATGCGTCACCTCAGGGGCCTTCCAGCCCCACGACTTGGCCCACCGGGCCACTCACAAGAAAGCTTGCTCGTTTTCCCACGCACCATCCCCAGCGCGATCCCCAAGCAAGCTTGCGCCCAAACGGCAGCGGAGCAGAGGCAAAGGCACATGAGATCACTCAGATCAACACCCCCCCCCCATTCATCGCTCCTTCCCCGCATTCATCGCCCCCCCTCCCCCCGTTCGTCGCCCCCCCCCTCCCCCGTTCATGGCCCCCCTCCCCCATTCATCGCCCCTCCCGCCATTCATCGCCCCCCCCCCCCCCCATTCGTCGCCCCCCCCCCCCCCCCCCCTTCATCGCCCCCCCTCCCCCAATTCATCGGTCCCCCATGAAATAACGTCCGAAGGATGCAGGGCCCTGGCCTCCGAGGGGGGCCGCTTCGCGCTCGCCCGCGCCCCGTCGGCGGCCCCGGGGCCGAAACCAACAGACATCGCCCCGGCGGGGGGGCCGGCGCCCCCCGCGGCCGCCGCCCGAAGAGTCACGCCCTGTGATGCTTCGGGGGCCTGCCGCAGCATCCGAGGAGCTGCTCTCGTCGCGAGGAGCGCGGACCGTCGGCCCGCTCAGCCGCTCCGAGAGCCCCCCCCCGAGGCCGCCGCTCGAAAAGTCACGTCCTGTGATGCTTCGGGAGCAGAGCAGAGCGTCGAATCTGGGACACGCAGTGCGGCTTCAGAAGTGGCCGCGGCACGGCGGGCGCTTTATTTGTCGCCCGAAAGATGATCGAAGCTACGTGGGATCCCCGCTCCGGCCAGGTGGTCTTCTTAGCATTGGACTGGGCGAAGGCCTTCGACAGTGTATCGCCAGAGGGTTTATTGCAAGCTCTACGGCGATTTGGCGTACCCACACAATTTTCCGAATGCGTCAAGGCGATTTACACAAACCGGTCGTTCAGGGTGCGTGAGGCCGGAGCTGCGTCCGAGTCTTGGACGCAAGAGTACGGCATCTCGCAGGGGTGCCCTTTGTCGCCGCTCCTGTTCTCCATCGTGAAGACCGCCCTGATGAGCGACGCCACGGATGCTTTCAAGCGGCAGGGCTTCACTCAGGAGGAGCATCTTCCGGTCAGCGAGTTGATTTACGCGGACGACACGCTCGTGGTTGGCACCAACCGTGAGTTCGTGAGCGCGCTCATGATGTGCATCCAGGAAGCGGGGAAGCACTACGGCCTGGCATTCAATTGGAGCAAGATAGAAGCTATGCCAATTCGGTGCCAGGACCACGTTGACGAGACCGGGCGGCGCAGCAGTGCCGTGCAAGGAGAGCATGGTCTATCTGGGCGGCCTCCTGACTGCCAGCGGAGGAAGCGGCCCCGAGCTGAGCAGACGCTTGGGCATGGCAGCGGCAGGCTTCGGTACGCTATGCCGTGTTTGGAAGCATTGCAAGATACCGTTGTCAAAGAAGGTGCGCATATTTGAAGCATGCGTCGTATCCAAACTCATGTACTGTTTGCACACCGTGTGGCTCAACAAGGCCGAGAACAACAAGTTGAACGCATTCCAAGCACGGTGCCTGCGAAAAGTTGCCGGCATAGGGCATTCCTACGTGAGCCACATCACCAACGAGACCATGCTTGGTACATGCGGGTGCAAAAAGTTGAGCTCTCTGCTGGCGTACAGACAACTGGTCCTGATGGGAGACGTTGCCCGGCAACCGGACGGCAGTGCAATGAGGCGTTGCGTTTTCACGCCCGGGGGTTTTGACCTAGCCCGCCCGCGTGGCCCCCGCAAGCGCGGCCGGCCCAAAAATACATGGAACCGCTGCGTGTACGACCTCGCATGCCAGGCAGCAGGTGGACCAGCACCTCTGCAAGACGTGTGGCAAGGTTCCGCACACGCGTGGCGCGCAGCTGCCAGGCGCCTCTGCTTCTGAGCACTGGTATGAGCCCGAGTGCCACTACTGCCAATGCACCCTGGACGTGCACGGCTCGCTCTCTCTCTCTCTCTCTGTGATGCTTCGGGGGCCTGCTGCAGCATCCGAGGAGATGCTTTCGTCACGAGCTTAGCTGCCTCGATACGCCCGTGTTGATACGCAACACGTCCCGTGTTCAAGACGTCCGTGTCAATACGTTGCGTGTTGGCTCCACGTATTGGACCACGTTTTGGCGAGTGTATCGCGTCGGACCTCCGCTTTCGGCCTGCGCGTTGAGCTCCGTATCGATACGGTACGTGTTGCGTGTTGCGTATCGGGGCAGCTAAGTTCTCGAGGAGCGCGGACCGTCGGCCCGCCCAGCCCTTCCGAGAGCCCCCGAGGGCCGCCGAGGGCCTTCCGGCGGCGGCCGAGGGCCGCCGTCGGTCCTGCGGCGGCCCCCGGCCGAGAAGGACTCTGGTCCTGCGGCGGCCCCCGGTCCTGCGGCGGCCCCCGGCCGAGGGCCGCCGTCGCTCCTGCGGCGGCCCCTCCGAGAGCCCCCGAGGGCCGCCGAGGGCCTCCCGGCGGCGGTCGAGGGCCGCCGTCGATGCTGCGGCGGCCCCCGGCCGAGGAAGGACTCCGGAGTCGGAGACAGTGGGGGCGTTGACCTAAGGAGCGATAGATCCGCCGACCCTGTCGGCGTGTGGAATGGGTTGTCCTCCTCCTCCTCCTCCTCCTCCTCCTCCTCCTCCTCCTCCTTCAACTCATCCTGCTCCTCCTCCTCCTCCTCCTCCTCCTCCTCGCACACTTCCTCCGCCTACCCTGTCACGTTGTTCTTTCGCTCCTTCCTCTGATCACACATCCCGTCGCCATCGACGGCCGAAACCTTCAGGGTCGGCGGCACCGGCCGTAAAGCCTTCACAATAAGGAACGAGGTCCTTTTTTCCCGGAAATTAAACTCCGATGTTCCATGGAAAACCTCCGGAAAAAACCCAGGGAGCACTGCAAAACAACTGAGGAACACGGAGCCCTTCCCAACCGAAAAAAGTTCCTTCTTCAGCGGCCCGACTGTAGTCAATCCGGGTTCCCCAAAACATTTTCCGCAGGCGGCCAGTCGGCCAGTCAAGAGTCGGCCAGAAACGGGAGCGGAGTCGGATACAGGCAAACTCGATTGGACAGGACACGCGAGAGGACACGAGACTCTTCCGAGGGGCACGTCGCCATGGGAGTGTAAGATGGCACGGGTCGCGAGGGACAGGACACAAGGGCACCCTTGATTTGGCAGGGTCGACCTACTACTCTGGGCCGGCAAAAAGTGACATGAACATAACATCTCGGAGGTCCGCGCGGATTTCTCGGATCGGCGCTGGACCCCCCTCCCTGGCGCGCGTATCGCGCCAGGGGCGGCGCTGGAGGCGCCGCCGGGGGGCCCCAGCGCCGATCCGAGAAATCCGCGCGGACCTCCGAGTCTTTCTGTTCATGCCACTTTTTGTTCCCCTACGACTGTAGTCGACACCGGTTCCCCCACACATTTTCCAAGTGCCCCGGGCGGCAGCCTTCGGGTACAGTCGGGGCGTTGAGCTAAGGAACGATCAATTAAGGAACGAGGCCCCTTTTTCCCAGAAGTCAGACTCCGATGCTCCATGGGAAACCTCGGGAAAGCCCCCTTGTTCAACATTTGGCGTTCCTTCTGGTAGCACCTCGACTGTAACCAATCCCGGTTCCCCCAAACATTCTTCTGGGCGACCTAAAAGGGGGTCCAGCTGCAAGGGGGTGGTGTAATAGATTTGGGGCAATTGTATTGTACATAAACGTATTGCGCTGGAGAATTGTATTGCATTGTATTGCAACTAATGTATTGCACGCGAAAAGCCAGCAATACATTTGCGCCCCGGAAGGTATTGCACGCCCCAAATGTATTGCAACCTCACAAATCGATTGCACCAAATCTATTGCACCACCTCCTTGTCGCTGGACCCCCTTTCGGGTCAACCCGAATTCTCCAGGTGCCCCGGGCGGCAGCCTTCGGGTAGTCGTAGCCCTTGCGGATGGCGGCGTCGGCCTCCGCGAGCAGCCGCTGGGCCTGCGCGCTCGCCCTCCCCCTTCCGCTCTGCCGGCGGTGCGGGCGCAGGTGTGCCCGCCAGCGGCGAGCGAGGGGGGGGGAACCTCCTCCTCCTCCTCCTCCTCCTCCTCCTCCTCCGCCTCCTCCTCCGCCTCCGCCTCCGCCTCCTCCGCCTCCTCCGCCTCCGCCTCCGCCTCCTCCGCCTCCTCCTCCTCCTCCTCCTCCTCGTCGTCCTCCTCCTCCTCCTCCGCCTCCTCTTCCTCCTCCGACTCCGCCTCCGCCTCCGCCACCTCCTCCTCCTCCTCATCCTCCTCCTCCTCCTCCCTCCTCCCTCCTCCTCCTCCTCCTCCTCCTCCGCCTCTTCCTCCTCCGCCTCCTCCTCCTCCGCCTCCTCCTCCGCCTCCTCCTCCGCCTCCTCCTCCGCCTCCTCCTCCTCGAGAAGGAGGCCTGCTCGAAAGGCAGCGGGCCGTCTCAGACGCCCTCGCACCTTCTGAAAGGTTGTCTCTGTCTTCGGGGAAGGCATGGAACGGTTCTCAGAAGGCCGGGCGGCTTCCGAGCCCTCTGAGAAGGCCTGCCCCTTCTCACTTCCCCTCGCTCGCCGCCGAGCCTGGACATCCGGCGGCGACGGTCTGCTCAATCCCTGAGGTGGGCCCACGATGCTTGCACACGGGGCGTCCTCGCATGGCTTCGGGCCCCAAGGCCATCGCAGCTCGGCCCGGTCCGATGACGCAGCAAAACGGCGAGCATGTCCAGTTCGTCTTGATATTCCGCGACGTCGCCATCTGTCCCAGGAGCCGCGGGTTGGAACAGGAGCAACCAATCAATCAATGACGCCGTCTGCACGACACATCGGCTAAAGCAGTGCCGCTGGCCGGAGGCGTGTGTCCGCCATGGCACAAGGCAAGGGCAGTTCACAATCTGATGGCCCAGCGTTTGGCTGGTGGAAGAAACTGGCTGCCATGGCTTATGCTGGGAGGGGGAGAACGAGGAGGAGGAGGAGGAGGAGGAGGAGGAAGAGGAGGAGGAGGAGGAGGAGGAGGAGGAGGAGGAGGAGGAGGAGGAAGAGGCGGAGGAGACGGAGGAGGAGGAGGAGGAGGAGGAGGAGGAGGAGGAGCAGGAGGAGGAGCAGGAGGAGGAGGAGGAGGAAAGGGAGGGGGATGGACCAACTCCCTTCCTTCAGGGTGGGTAACTATCTCAGGGCCTGCTGCTCTCAAGAGCACGCCGTCGGCTGTCTGGGCTCCTCCGCCGGCGGACAACGGATGCCAACCGGGCCACGAGCGCGCACGGCGCGCGGCAGCGAGAGAGCGACGGGCCAGGGCCCCCGAGAGGCCTCCGCCGCAACGCGACTGTTTCGGCACGTGGCCACGGGAGGCCCCGGCCCCTGGGCCTTGCCGCGTGGGGGGCGAGCACTCCCCGCCCCAGGAGCGCGCACGGCGCGACAGAGAGCGAAGGGCAAGGCCCCCGAGCTCTCCGACGCGGTGCGACTCTTTCGGCACGTGGCCAGCGGGAAGTCCCGACCCTTGGGCCTCGTTGCGTGGGGGGGGGGGGGGCGGGCCCTGGCCATCGCTCGGACGTCCATT